GGGGGGGGGGGGGGGGAAAGAATGAAGTAGCCCATGGAACCACCATGAAATATTTATTTGAGGGCTTATGACAGTGATGAAAAACACAAACCTACAAGACCAGGTTCTGACACGCCATACGTGTATGGACAGGGTATGGTGTCTCTCACATTACAGTGCACCGGGCTGTCAGTCAGACTAAAAAATTCCCGTGCCCCTACGACAGCATGAAAACTAACGCAACAGATTCTGCCATCTTTCAGCTACTAGTCTGAAATCAACAAATCTTTTTAACGAAAACAAGATGATTTAGTAGCTAAGAATTATTTTATGCTTATCTAATCACTTAGAGCTAGGGCAGCTTAATCAGCATAGTGGCTGACTGAGGACTGGATGACCAGGGTTTGATCCCTGCCAGGGGCAAAGGTTTTTTCTTCTGGCGCTGAAGCCCACCCAACCTCTTATCCAGTGGGTACAAGGAATCGTTTCCCCAGCAGTGAAGCACAGCCAGGGCTTGATGCTGACCGCTTGCCCCTACTGAGGTAAAGAACGAGAAGTAGCTATGTATCCACCCCCCCACGCGCGCCAAGTAAATAGCACAACTTTGCTTATATAATTGCTATATGGCATGTAAATACAGGAAAGACATGGGAATTTTTTCTTTTGACTGACATCTTTTGCCACAACCTTGGAAAAGTGACCATGACATTGCTAATGAACCGAATGCACACGCTGGTGGAGTATAAGATTAATCCTGTCACTGAATAACTTGTCACATACATCACACGAATAAGGTCCTTCTGCTGTATGTTCATAAACGTGCGTCTCTAGTTGACTCCTTTGGTTGAAAGATTTGTTACAAATCCTGCATGAAAAAGGTTGATGTCCAGTGTGGAAACGAAGGTGTATCTTCAGGTAACCCTTCCGAGAAAATGATTTCTTACATATGTCGCATGTATAAGGTCTTTCTTGAGTGTGCATACGTATATGATCTGTCAGGTGTTGTTTACGAATAAAGGATTTTCCACAGAATGTACACGTGTGACCTCGTTTTGACGAGTGTGATTTTCCATGCCGGCGATCATGCTCACAAACATGCCCTTCAATAGTCTGAAAAATAAAATAAAATGGCAATCTCAAATTCTCAAAATAAACTTTAGAAAAACTATTTTATTGGAAAGAGAAAGGACTTCCCATTTCACACAAGGACTGTTTTACACACACAAAAAACCTACACAATACATACTCAATGTATTTATGATCCAGATCGCAAGCCAGAAATTCATGTTACACTGGAGACACAGGATCTCCAAGACTGATTTGTGTCAAAGCGACAGGGAAGGGAAGATGCATTGGGCAAAACGAAGATGACAATGCAATTACTTGTAATAAGTATACACACGCACAGTGAAATACTGAGCAGTACACATTCCCTTCCATTTTCTACAGCGTTCTTTATTTTCTTCAGGAGAAAAGGCTTAAAAGATTATCATGCTGTCTGTGTGTCCACCCTCCCAGTAAATCAACCATTTAACTGGTTATAATAATACTTTATATTGACATTAAAGAAAAATGTTAAAACTTGCCTCTGGTTCACTCATGATTATGGGGACAGGATCCTCGTCAAGTATCATTTCAAAGAGTTCTCCATGTCCAGGTGAAGGCATTAGTTGAGTATCATCACTATCTGAATCAAATTCTGGCTTGATATCACCTGTAATGTACTACAAGGCAATGACAATAAAATAAATTAAACTTACGGTCGATAATTCAAGTACACAAGAGAGACAGCTGAATCAGAGATAAAATATAGCTATATGCAAAACCTACTTCACTTTCTTTCATCACTACAGGTAGAATATAGTTTTCATGTTTTATGTCAAGAATCTCATTTTCACTCTTTGTAGATAATGGATCAATGTCAGCAACTGATTCAGATTCCACTTTGACGGTTGCAGCCATATTGCAAGCTGAAACACAAAGAGAACATTACAGCAACAATTCTTTAAAATTATGTTTTTCTTACATGTACACAGGCCATCCCCATTCAGCTACCAAACATATGTAAGGAATATTATTTTGTTCCACGTATACAATTATGAATACGTTTCATTTTATTTCCATGCCAGTGGAAAATATGCAGTAATGAGAAGTTATTCGATACACAGACATACTGATACTTGAATGGGGAGAATGAAAAATAAACCAAGTCCCTCTGCAAAATAAAGCTTTCATATTTGAGGTTATGTCAGTAAAAGCATACAGCAGTTTAACTCACATCTCTCATAACACTAATACATAACCATATTTTAAACCTTGGCACCGCACACCTATTAAATACATTTTATGTCCTTATTACGAAACAGGAAATACACATGTCTACTATAACAAAGACTAGCTCCTGGAATCAATAAAGATTTGATCCATGGTAAAGGTATACAGCATTGCCATTGCTTCCGTGCGTCAGTAACATATTTTACAAATCTGCAAAATTAGTCCATACACCAAAACATTTCAAAACAATTTAATGAAATTCATCCATACATTCAATTTCTCAAATGAAATTATAACAATCACTCCCATAACTCGCCATTTTCTGCGTTTTCCGTTTGCGTGATAAATTATTTACATCAAAGTTTCCTAGATACTTGCTGCACATTCGACTTCGAACATCAGAGAATTTCGTGAGAGATGTAATAACTATAAACTTTTTATATCATGGAGTCAGATTAAGTGCACTGTGTTGAATAATAGAAATGTCTTAAAATAATAAGAATTTCCATTAGTCCTAGGCAAGTGAAGTAACGAAGTGTGGTTGAATCTAAATGTGGAATTGAATGGAAGTGAAGACATGCATGAAATTACGTAATTAGGAAGTTGACTTTTCACCATCAAGGCATAATGAAGAAAAGTTATATATTTTTAATAACTGCCAGTATTCGAAAGCGTCAACCGTGATATCATTGTCGAGCTATAAGTCTTCTATTCGCCCTCCATCGTAGAGATATTTCATCGTATCTGTATTCACGGTCAGGCACACTTTTTGTACTCTTCCTTCAGGTCCTTCCACAGATATTCTGCGTTGTCTTTGTCGTGTGCAGTTTCCACCTGGTAGCTGGCAAAATGAAGGGTGTATAGAAATGTTTCTTCTGTAATTGATATACCCATGGGATTGCATTTTCTCCAAAATTTTTCCAGTACCTTATCTAAATAGATTTTAAAAAGTGTAGGTGGCAGGGAGCATTTTTGCTGCAAACCCTTTGCAACAGGAAATTCTGTAGACACTGTATTGCTTATCTCTATCTTAAAACTGATATTTTCACTGTTTACTGATATAGGGATTCCTTCTAGAAGCTACCACATTTTACAGACAGGAATGCTGTGGTATGCTTTGCATATATCAATAAATGTTTATCCTTGCCTACATCCATACTTTTCTCCATAACTTGCATGAGGCAATAAATATTATCAACACATGACTTTCCTGCCCCAAAGCCACTTTGTTGCTCTAACTCAAAACGCTGGTAATCTTCCTCTAAGGTAGTTTTCAGTACTTCGCTGTATAATCTACTCGTAGTACTTGCAACAGGTGTGGCCCTGTAATTGTCACATAGGTAACTTATCCCTTTTTTATGTATCAATGTGATCCACAGTCTCCCATTTCATCTCCTTTTCTTGTATTATCTTCAAGTAAAGTATTTCAAATAATGTGTATGACACTACCTGAGAATTCATAAGATAAACCAAATTAATTTTCAGGTTAATATTTACATTACTTCTTTACAAAACAATGTCACTTCAGGTCAGTACATGCTTTAAAATTACTTGAGATACTTAAAGCAACATTCAATATTGAATTCTTAGGAGAAATTGGATGTTGTACTTGTGACTTACAGAAAGTATGTTTAAAAATAAGACGTTGAAAGAGAAAAACCTCTTCCATTGCCACTCAGTAAGTATCATTTTAGTCATTACTTCACAGTCCATATACGAACTTCGACATCAATACGTAATACGAAATTAACATATTTGCGACCTGGGATACTACAAAAAATGGTACTGCAACGAATGGTGAATCAATATAAAGGACAAAACATCAGAAGAAAAATCATTAAAAATCCTAAAAAGTAATTCAGTGAAAAGTTTATATATAAAACACCAGATGATGGCTATATATAGCCGAAACATGTTGTGTAAGTTCCATATGTAAATCGAGTACTCGATAGGGAACATAATATGATATTTTAATCTTTTAATTTTATTGTGATTGACGGTTATTTTTAAATATTTTAATACTATTAATTCACAATATGACGCATCTACAATACCTCTAAAATGATTGTTTGTCTGATTTGTTTCCCTGACTCTCTTATCAGATTTTCATCAACATCTTCTTCAGTTTCTTCAATCTCTTCTCACGTTCTTCAGTGCGATATTTTATGGAGTAGCCGCGTGGTCTGAGGCATCATGCTTCAGACCGGTGATACGGAATGCGCGCTGGTTCGAGTCTCGGGGGAGAAGAAATTTTCTCATGAGCTTTTGATCAGTGTATGGGACCGGTGCCAACTCAGCATCGTGTGGAAATTGGGGAGCTACAATGAGTAGCGTAATCCGGTCAGGAAAACTATCAATGGCTGGGGGTTCGTCGTGCTGACCACACATCACCCTATATCTGGTTGGATGATCCTTCACCTCTGCTTAGGCACGTGAACATGAGGCCAGCAGCCAGCTAGTCAGCTTTGGCTCTCAGAGGGCTGTTATGCCACGGATTATTATTATTATCACTTTGGTATAATAAGTATTACAATATATGTACACAACAAATTTATTTGACATGTCAGAGGTTCCAGTACCAGACATTTAGCAAATGCATGGGATTTAACACTTGCATGGCAGTGGAGATAGTGTTGATGATTGTGAAGATGATGATCTGGGTTTTGGTGGCAAGACCTAGGAGACTAGCATCATTTAGCAAATATATTAGCTGATGTAATTTACAAAACAAAGCACAATAAGCAGGCCACAGAGGATTTCAGCAAACCCTGCCATCCATTTGAACACAGAAGAACAACTGTGTAGTAGAGAAAATGATGAATACAGATGTTATATCACAGGAATGCAAATATGGCGAAATAATTCATACAGAATCGATATTCTGTAATGACAGTTCCTCACCACCACCAATAATGAAGTCAACATTCCTTTCATGATATATGCAAAAATCAAGAATAATAGTCTTTTTTTTAAAAAAAAAATTCATATCCATTTAATACTGCGACTACCATCAGCGGCTAAATGATGACAAAATACATTAAAGTGATAAATACAATAGAGATTCCCCCCAAAACTACTCGAGTCAAACCAGGCTTAATGTCAGAGCATAATACAGTGAATAATGTCCATAAAAAACAATTCAAAATATGATCAGGATATCTTTGATACTCAGTCCTCCTATGGTCCTATTTAGAACATGTTAAAAGCTATTGATTTTGCTGCCAAAAATAATTCTTATGTACATCGTTAGGAACAATGAAGAATGGAACTTATCAAATAATTTTGTGGCTCGTATGAAATATGCAAATTATATGATGACGATATTCTTCTGGGCTTTAGCATTAAATAGTCATCAGTTAAAGCAGTCATTTCGGATAAATATACTGTCTGCATCCACAGGGCTGAAGTGTCATAGCTTTCTTATGGGTCTACAATTTATGAGGCTGCGGTCGTGCCTGCATCGTGTTCTCGGCAGGCGCTCCCTTGATGTCGGCGGGAGTCGTGCGCGTTCTTCCGGTGGGTGACCGGCGAATCAGTTTTAGTGCTGCTAGTAACAGCAAACTATGAATATTTCTCGTCACTGATACATGTTATTACATTAATTGTTCTTACCTTAAATCACAAAAGATGTTCAAAGTGACTTACTTGTGCTTGCAGGCGACTTCACATCTCGTTAACATGTTTCGAAATACTCGACGAAGCTCTTCTTGGGAAATTACCGAAATAAATTGTCGAATATTTTCTTTAAGTGTTTCTGCAGTGTAGAAAATAGTGTTTCACGACTCTAAATCGTATTATAATCTTTCTCTATGCAGTGTACTGAAGTACACAAAGTATTGACAAATGTCGCTTTCAAGTGAATGATTTATCCCGTCATCTTACAACAAATATATCCAATACAAACAATAAGACGTTCTCATGTCTTGTGCCTCGGAGCTGTTGTGTCGCTGGAATCCATTTCTATTGTAGTTGCAATACGCGATACATTTGTTCAGCGTTTTCTTTGATACAGAAATTCATCATCTGTTGTCTGTTATGTGTTTTGCCCTCCAAGTCTGTCTGTGCCCGTTGTCATAATATGTAAATTACCTTTACAAAATTATGCAAGATGCAGTTCCTCATGCGAGCGTCGAGTAGTCATGTATTTCTTAGTGGCGTCTAAAAATGCGTGCTTCATGAATATTTGTAGGTCTTGAATTTTGCAGTACAGAATTTAACCACTCACTACTCACAAATGCATACTTCAAAAGACTAAGAAACCTTCAAAAGGAGGCGGTGAAGACGCCACTGGGTTATAGAGCCACAGGAATCAGAATATCGTTACATGCATTTATTTCTTCAATGTTTTATGGCCACTATGGAGGCTGCCATTATGCATTTGATCAA